ATGTTTTAGAAGTTAAAAAAATTATGAGGTTCCTATCCAACTTCATCTAGAATCTGGTAATGTAGTCATTGCCTCAGTTGAATTTCTAACTGACCAAGACCTTTGGTGCAGGAAGAGAGTTTGGAGAAAGGAAATGAGCTGCTTTTGAGAACTGGAACATTTGGGATTTGGGGTGCTGTTTTTGTTGGCCTCATGCACAGTACAATGGATGGGTCCCGTAGCATAGCCAGGCCCTGCAGTATCAGCTCATTCAGGTCCTGAGAAGAAGCATGCTCTGGTGGTTCTTTGGGAGTCTTTGGGTCCTCTTTCACACAACTGCTGGGAGGGTAAGGGGTACAGTCCCACTCCTAACATTTGCAGGGTTCAGGAGCTCACGGTCCATAGCCCGTCTTCTTCCCTGCTTCTCCCAGTCTTGTCACTGCCCAGCACTTGTGTGCACTTTGGCACCAGCACATCCATAGCCTCCTACACCCCTCCACCTTCCACCACCCCTACAAACAGCCACTGTTAGCCTCCCCTCACAACTAAGGAAGCACAGACTCAGCAGAGTGGTTTGCCTTCTGGAGGTGGACTCAGGAAAGACCCATGAAGTCCTTGTAAATAAACTCAGGACCATTTGGATAGGGAATTCTGAGGTCTCAGGTAATGAAGCATATTGTAGAAAGTCAGGGGGTGGGGAGGCACAGGCTTTAGCTAGCCTTGTGGGAAGGGGCACAGCTGGAGGGGTAGGGCAGAGCAGGCTCCTGTAATGATGAAACCCAAGGCAGGGGCTCTGGCTGACCTGGTCTGAGGGCAGTACCGAAGACCAGTAGCCTAACATCACAGCTGGAGAGTGGATCCATTGCCATTCTATGCAGCAGCCTCCCTCCCTTTCCCAGTTTCTCCAAGGGTCTCAAAGGGAAGCTGGGTCCCATTGGCTCACACTCACTCTGTTCCTCCTGCGACTGCTTGAGTTTGCACATTGCTGCTGCAATTCTTCCAACTACCTCCTTTTTGTTTAATGAACCTGCTTTCTGCTGCTATCTGGTTATCACACCTGTGACTGGGGCAGTGCTAGAGCTATGGGGCAGGACACCTGGAGCAACCCTGTGGATATGGCCGCTTTTGGTGTGTGTGTATAGGGTGGGACAGAGAATGGCAGAGGTAGGGGTATTATGCTGAAGCAACTGCTCCTTTCTGCCCACTGCTCACCCTTGTCACCTGCAGGATGTGTAGCTTCCTTATCTGATGCTAGGCACTCTAGGCTCCCGCAGTTTCTCTCACTCATTCCAGATCCCTGGTCCTTTCCTGGCCAGGCTGGGCTGTCTTGTCAGACCTGAGACTGCTATTGTTTCACTTAGCCTCCATGCCTTGCTTCCTCCTCTCCACACGGGCGCATCTCTTTTTCTGCCCCCTGCTTCTGTTAGTAAAATCACTCCCAAATGAAATCATCTCATTCTTTTCAGGGAGCATATGCAAAACTATCCCATCTCTCCCTGTCTTCGCCTTCCCCTCCGCCCCCCATCATCCATCCTGGAGAAGTGAGGTTATGACTAACTTAGAGGAGAGAGCAGGGAAAACACCTGCTGCCAACCCCACAGCGTGGGATGATAAGGGGCAAATGCTCAGAGGACCCCAGGTCACACAGTTCTTGGATTGCAAAAGAAACAGCACCAAACCACATCTCTTGCTTCCCCTATCTGTATTTGGCCTCTGCAAGGTTTAGAAATGGAATCATCTGTAGAGTTCAGTATTTATTTCCTGACATTTCTCCAAGGACTGTTCTGGTGTTTGAAGATTTGGAAATCAATGGCTAGGTGAGCTGGGAAGGTGACCCACAGCTGAAGGCCATCCTACCTACACTCCCAAGAAGTCCGACACTAGTCACCACTGACCAGCCACAGGGAATGGTCTTTACTACAAGTGAAGCTATTTTTAGATGGAGCATTGGATAGGCTCCTGGGCTGAGGAAGGGAGCTACAGCAGGCATTCTCTCTCCCTCTCTCACACACATATACACACACACACTCAAATATGCAAATGCTTTACTCATTGAACCCAACTCCATAGAGGTTTGAATGAGTAGGTAGAATCCAATTTTGAAAAGCCTTTAACTACCTTTGGGAACACAAACATTTGTTCTCAGTATACCAATGACATGCTTTCTCTGGGGGAAAAAAGCCCCATTTCCAGACAAATAAAACAAATGCAGGGACACATAAATACATAAATTTTCAATAGAAATCCTGGGAAATCCCACAGGAGAAAGGGAAGCCACACTGCTTTGCCTCCTGCTTTCTCCGCCATGCATCTGACATTCCAACCTCAAAGCCTTTGGTCACCATATTTTTTCAGCTTCAGATGTTCTCTCTACCTCCACACCCCACTCCTGCTATTCCACCTGTCTAAATTGCACCTGCATTTCTAGGCCCAATTTAAATACTGCTTTGCCCAGGAAGGCTTAGATCCCCCAGCAAGATCAACCTCTCCTTGCTCTGTCTTCCCATAGCAACTTCTCTTAGCTTTACTGTGATCTTCAACTCATTGCACCCTGTCATATCTTGCTTGAGTTCACGGCTGTCGTCCTTGCAAACGTGGAAGTCAGGGATGAGTCGGGTTCATATACCTGATGGTGGGGCACACCACAGGCACTCAGAAAGTCGTTACTGATTTTAAAAGATTTAACCATTTCTTTGTTGAGCCTTTTGTTCTTGTAGTAGACAGAAGTCTTGGTCTATGATCCCTTCTGATGTTCTTAGAAGCCCTCAGCTTTGTACTTGGACAAGGTGACACTTCTTACAGCACTTTTTTGTGAAGACCTTGCCTCCAACCCATTCTCTTCCCTTTTTCCAGTGCCCATAGTAGCAGAAACACACAATTCAACATACTTTCCTAAGAATTCCGAGCTACCCACTCATTATTTTATTGTCAAAATCTAAATGGCAAGTTGCTTTAATAAGACTCTCTCTCAGTAAGATTCTAATATTGGTGTTATGAATTGGTATTCTGCCATGCTACTCCTTGTTCTTTCTGGTGTTTACTTTTTCATTTATTTTGCATTTGGGAGACACATTTCAATTTTTGTTAGCCCAATTGTTATTTAATATCGATATCAATAAGTTTTCTTCTGAAAGGGCAAAAAAAGACAAATTTGACTACTTCAAAACAAGATCACTATTCTGTCTTCTAAAAGAGCTAACTTCTCAAGGCTGCTTGGGATTGAGTTCAGACAGCTTTTTTGTGGCAAGGTATGAGTGTTTAGTAATTGCACTGTGTTGTGTTACAGAAAGCAGGACAAGGAATGCTGGGACTGTAGACCTCACGTTTTGAGCCTTAAATCTCAGACACTACAGGAAATTTGCCACAAAATTACTAAACAATTCTACGGTTCAAGAGGCTATTTAAACAGACATATTTTTCTAATGATTATTTATTGTATTAAAATAACCACACCAGTAGGTGCCTGCATTACTGGTTTCTTGACCCCAAGCCAAGTGCCCGAAGAGAACAACCTCCGTCAAAGCGGGCAGATGGATGGGCAGATGGATGTTCACTCCCACTTCTCAGAGCAGCCTCAAGAAAGGTCTTTGAGAGGATCTTAACTCCTTAAACTGCTGTGACCAGAACAGAACTGTCATGAGAAATGTGAGTCACTCTTCAGAGACAGCTCCATAGACTGTCTGGAGGTTAAGGAAAAATTCATCATGCACACTCAATGTGCAAAGCGCTCTTTAATAAAGGGAACTTGACTAAGGGAGTGTCCTGTGGGAGCTCTTATCTCTTACCTTCTCCTGTCAATAATATGAACAATAAGGAATCCCATACCTGAAATTCGGGTGATTCCCTCAGAACAGCTTCTCCAGTACTCTCTTCCCTTTAGGACAGATATTACTTGAGTCTTCTATTCTTTTTCCCACCCCACACCTCCTCTTGAAAGATCAGACCCCAGCTTCCAGAAATTTGTTTTCCAGAACCCCCCTGCACATTTCAACAGCATTTCTTCTATCTGAGCCTACCAAAAATGTCACTGAGCCATCCCTGTAGTCTCCGGTCAGAGTCTCAATCAAAGGGACATCCCAATTCCCAAAGGGGGAGGGGCTGCAGAAGCGCCCCCACTCCCAGTAGAGCTTTACAAGATGCTCCCGGGCCCAGCTCGCCGGCAGGGGACCTGGAGGGCCCAGGCTTCCAGCGCACCGCACCCAGGGCTCCACTTGCTGCTCGGCTAAGTGAGCACGTGGGCCCCTGTCTGTTTTAGAGTTCGTAGCCTGAAGAGGTCCCTCTATTCAGCCCCTCTAATCACACCGCGTCCGCTCCCTCCGCGGCAACGCCACTACTCAGCAAATCGCTCTCCCTCGTTGGTGACAGGCGTCTTGCCCTTGGTGAAGTCTGAGCTCAGAGGCCAAGAAGATCGTGGCACGCTCAGCGCCTGCCGGCTCACGCTGTCCGGGATAATAAACGATACGATGGCTCCATAAGAGGTACCCCTCCCCTGCCATTTCTCCTGGGGACGACCAAGATGGTCACTCTTTTCTCCCAAGTCCGAAAAAGATTTCTTCCGTCCAGACTCTAGGCTCCTGGGGCAACCACACGAGTCAGACCTTGGCGTCGCGGCAGACTCGGGTGTAAAGGAAAGGTCTTGTGGGCGGCTCCCCCGGCTGGATGCACCTTGAGGGAGGGCCCTTTCAAGGGCTCCATAAAAGTCGCTGGGATACATGCGTCGGGTCATTCGGCTGAGTCCCACTCCCTGGTGCTCCAGTTTCTCTCAGTTCCTGATGCCTCTCTCAGCTTCGGGGCGACCCCAAACTGCCCAGCATGGACCGCGTAAGGAGAGGGTGGGGGTGGGGAGGGGAGGCCGGCGGCCTGCACCTGCGGGGCCGATCTCTGCTTCTTTACCAGCTTCCTTTCTTCACCCGAATTCGCAGCCTTCTCTCTTCGGAGAAGGTCCCCCAGCCTCTTCATAGGCTGCTGCTCCACGCTTTTCCCCATCCCCGTCCCGCGTACTTCTAGATCGGGGTCCCCGGCCTCCCCCATCGGCTCTCTTCCCACCCCCGGGACCACCACCTTGCCGCGACGGCGCGCCCGGGGCCTCCGCCCGCGTCAGTAGGCGGAGCTGCTGGGCAGTGGGTCGTAGCGCCCCCCACTGTAGACCACCACGCCGGGCGGGTAGTACAGCAGGTCGGGCTCCGCGGCCGCGTGGAACGGCGCCAGCGCCCTCACCCCCGGGTCCTCGGGCTCCGGCTTGGTGGTGGCGGTGAAAGGGCGCATGCTGGTAAGCGAAGGCGACGCGATGCGCCACAGCAGGCTCTTGAGCGCCTTGCGAAACTCGCGGCGCACGAGGCAGTAGAGGACCGGGTTGAGGCAGCTGTTGGAGTGCGCCAGGCACACGCTCAAGGGGAACGCGTACAGCTGGCACAGAAAATACTCCTGGCTGAAGGGCACCGCGTTAAACTTGATGAGGATGCTCCAGGTGGTGAGCGCCTGGTTGGGCAGCCAACACAGGAAGAAGGATAGGACCACGATGGTCACTGACTTGGTGACCTTGGATCGTCTCCGGGCGCTGGCTCCGGTCAGGCCTCCCCCGGCCGCTGCCACTCCTTCGGTCCCCCCCACGCGGCGGTCGGAGATGAAGCGCACCAGCAGCAGGTAGCACAGGCTAATGATGCCCAGAGGCAGCACGAAGCCTAGCAGCACCTTCTGGGAGTGATAGAGGCCCAGCCAGAACTGCCTGTCGCCGCCCAGCAACTTGTCCGGGAAGCGCACCAGGCACAGCTCCTCGCCCATCACCTTGATCGTGGTGGAGAAAATGGCATTGGGCAGCGAGGCCAGCGCTGCCGAAATCCAGATCAATAAGCACAGTGCCCTGGCCGAGAAGCAACAGCTGTCCCCCAGGCTCTGGCCGCAGCAATCGCCCCGGCCGTGCCCTCGGGTCCGGTGGCTTTTAAGAGCAGAGGCCACCGAATGGTAGCGTGCCACACTCATGGAGGTGAGGAAGAAGACGCTGGCGTACATGTTCATGGACGTCACGACGGACACAATCTTACACATGGCCTTACCGAAGGGCCACTTGAAGTCGAGCGCGTTCTCCACCGCCCAGAACGGCAAGGTGAGCACGAACTGGAAGTCCGTCAGCGCCAGGTTGGTGACGAAGAGGTTGATGGAGGACTTGCGCCAGCCCTGCTTGCTCTTCATCAGGTAGAGCACCAGCAGGTTGCCGGTCAGCCCCAGCGCGCAAACCACCCAGTACACCACGCTGATGAGGATCCGCACCCGGGCTTCGGTGTCGGAGCTCTCTGCACCGCCGCTGCCCGGAGGGTGCCCGGGCGCCGCGCCGTCCGGCAACTCCAGCCCCAGCTCCCACCACAAGTCCTGGAGCTGCAGAGACACGTTGCCACTCTTGTTGGCCGCCTCCAGAAGGCCCGGGATCAGACTGAAGAGTTCTGCGAGCTCGTCACTGCCAGCCGCATTATTCATGATGGCTATTGTGGCTGCAGCAGCCACCCGCATGTACAGGTGCCTCTAGGTCATGCTCCGGAAGACAAGACCTGAAGGAGCACGGTTCGTCCCCGGTGTCGTCCCCAGGCGAGCGCGCTGGGCGTGCGCGGGAGCTTTCAAAGTACCGCTGAAGACAGTGCCTCGGAAATGGGTACTAAGTGCGTCCCGCGCGCGAGCACCGCCCTGGGCGCAGGAGTTGAGCTCAGCCTCTGCTCTGGAGGGGACTTAGCAGAGGAGCGCAGCCTCTAAGGCGGTCGGCGTTCAAGGGATCTCGGGCCGAGTTCGGAGTCTCTGGGTCCCTACCGTACGACTCGGACTTCCCCACTCCGTTCCCGCTGTCACTTGGGCACTGGCGCATACCCCACCGGCTGCACAGGGGCGCCACTGGGGCCACTCTTTCTTTTTCCAGTACCTTTGTTGGTTTCCTCTGTCGCTGCTGGGATGAGGTTTCTGTCCTTTGAGAGGAAAAGAGAAATCGGGAAGTTCCGTCCACCTCGCTCTGACCGCCTGGAAGTCTGTCAGTGTTTGAGTCTCTCCGCTGTTGTCAATTCCCAGTGAGTTGCCTGCGGCGCTCGCCACAGTTAATTCGCACCCACACAGTGGCTGCGGCGGGACCCGAAGAGCATGCGCAACCCCCGCGAGGAGCGAGGGGGCGCTTTCCGAGGTGCTGAACCCCGCCGTGCCGCCGCCGGGAGGAGCGACAGCTCGGCAGCCAGAGGAGCCCACCGTCCAACCCCTTCTCCTCTTCCGTTTCAGTGGCAAATAGCCGTAACCCTTTATTTTCCTATGTTGCTGGAAAACGTCTATTTTGATCCGAGTTCCCTCTTCTTTTCTTCATCTCAAATATTACAACTAGAAGGTATTTTTTTTCTTTCCCTTTCTTTCTTCCTCACTCCCACTTTATCATTGAAATTATCCCATTTCGTGAAGGATGGTTCTAAAAACGTGCTCTCTGCTGCCCACGTTCCTTTTTGAAAGCAATGATAGTGGCCTCTTTTCATTAGGGACCTCTTTTCAGTAGGGACCCTAAATCAGATTATGGGTCCCTATTGAACATTCTTACACATACGCAAGATCTACTTCCCCTTCTTTAATTAGCTGACCACTTAACTGGTATCTGCGATTGTCAGCATTTTCAAAGGGTCTTCACATAGCAGAAGTCTGGGTTTAAGTGTTGCCCTTACTTTGGCGTGTTCGAAGAAGTGAAAATAAGCAGCATAAAATTGATGAGCCAACTCTACCAACATTAAATACCACCTGTCCAGCCCTTGGCCCAAAGCCCTTCAACAAGTTTCTTGATCACATACACCCCACATGCTCTTTACCTAGATGCAGATGAAATAGAGGATACCATAAGACTGATTTTGGACCACCAGGCCATCTATTCCTACTACTATTACAATCAGAACTGTTTATCAGTTTTTCAGACCAATGGTAGTAATTTCTGAGGAATCTTCTAAAGGAATGAATGGAAAACGTTTGAATTACTTCTCATACTTTGTGGTTTATTTAAATGCCAAGTCAAATTCTCTGGTATAAATTACACACTTAAGAAATTTGTGATTTTTTTTTTCACTGTCTGGGACTAAACTGAAACAGAAATATCTTAAGCATCATTGCCCTCACTCCTGGGACAATGCAAAGCTCCCAGCTTTACTTATGGAAATAAAGATGTGACTTTAAAGCAGAGGAGATAAAAATCACCTAGTAAAAAAGAAACATGGTACCTGATACATATGAAAGAAAACGATCTTGATTTAAAAGCGAAAACACACTTAGTTCCAAAGAGAGCATACTTCTTTATAGACACTGGACTGCTCTATCTTCCCACTAGAGGGTGCCAGGGCTTTAGTAAAAACAAAATCAAAACCTTTGATGAGTTCTTATCTGGAGATCAACTCTGCCCTGATAATTCTCCCAAGCCACAGGTGCTTCTGTGAATACATCTTATCCCTGCTTTAGTAGCCTCACCTTCACATTCATTTTTCACTTTATTTTTTACTAGTTCTTTCTGCCAAATTTTAATATATATATCCCCCCCCCCCAGGGGCTATTGAAAAACAAGGAAGCCTAGGGCATACCCTGAAAGCCCTCTGCTGTTAAGCTTTTGGTATGTTCCAACTAATGGCCCCCATCCCACACATACACAGCTTCATTGTCCCAGTGTTTCTAGTCCCACCTGAGAGCATATCTACTTGATCTGTCCCAAATTACGTGTACATATTCACACTTCGTGAAGAATAAGGAGGAAACTTGATTTATCTCCCATTCATCAGCCATTTACTCTTTGCCAGCACTGAGCTAGGCTGAAAGACATACTATGATAGAAGTCCTCTATTTTGACCCTCTCTGGAACTCTCGATCTTAATGGGTGTGCAATTTACTAGTGTCTGTGACTATACTTTTGTTTAGCCTTTTGCATGATTAAGCTATCAAGAATGTAATGATCTGTGCCAGATGCATGAAAAATAATTTTAGCTGTTTTATAATTTCCCTTTTATTTTTTAAGGGATGGGTAGGTAATCGGTGCTTATACTTTGATGAGCTGTTCCAGTTTTAGATTTTTTTTTGTTATATCAAAGCTACTCTATTTATGTTTGTATTTGAAGAAATCGTAAAGTGTGCAGAGCTTGTTATATTACATACACAGTCTGTTTCTCTGTCCTCCTTCTCCCCAAAATTGAGGTCAGGCTGTGATGAGGGCTTAGAGGAAAACACTGTTAGAAACAAGATGCTCTTTCTCCTGCATAGTGGCAGGATATGGGATCTTGAAACCTTTTCCTCGGATGCTTTTGAGTTTCTGAAACCATGTGGGCCATGTGAAGCCACGAGTGAAAAAATAATAAAAGCATACTCTAGCATATAACATCTGGGAATCCATAATCGGAGAATGTAAGAAATCATCTGCTTTAGTACTGTCATTTTGCAGAGGAAGCTTGAGGAGATAAAGGGATCAATCAGGATCTCACTTCTAGAAGTAGACACATCAGGTCTAAAACATAAGTCTCTTGTCTCTCATGTGACATCTCTTGGCCCATTCTTCATTTCCCAACTTGAATTTAACTCTTCTACATCCTGATTTCTCGACAAAGGGATAGCTGGTAGGCTGAATAATGGTCCCCCAAGTATGTCCACATTCTAATCCCCAGGCCCTTGAATGTTATTTTATATAGCCAAAGGGATTTTGCATATGTGATTAAAGTAAAGGTCTTGAGATGGGGGATATGGTCATAGATTATCCAGACAGGCTCAATATAGTCACAAGAGTCCTCGCAAGAAGGAGGCAGGAGGTGTCAGAGTCGGAGAAGGCAATGTGACAACAGAAGCAGAGATTGAAGGGATGCTCTTTGAAGGTGGAGCAAGAATACAGCTAACCAGTAGAAGCTGGCAAAAGCTTCGAGAAGGAACCAGCACTGCTGACACTTGACTTAGCTCCAGTGGAACTGGTTTTGGACCTCTGATCTCTAGAACTGTGAGAGAATGAATTCATCTTGTTTCAAGCCACTGCATTTGTGGTAATTTGTGACGGCAACAACAGAAACCAGTACAGTGTGGGTACGCAAGCCTGGCTTGAACATTCCATAATAGGAAATTGAGCAATTCTTAATTAAACATGTTGGTGTTTCTTAACATATTGTTCTCTCATTAAAGAAATATTTAATGAGTATCAACTCTGTGCTAGGTACTATGCCATGTACCAGAGATTTAGTGGTAAATACCACTTACTAATGCCCACATTCGAGTAGATGAGACAGACATTTAGAAAATAAGAATCTTAATGAATTGTATGATTACAATTATAATAAGAAGGAAAACAAAGTAAAATAGAAAGTTATAAAAGTATGTGCAAGGAACTAACTTTTAACTATTTATGAGGATATTTATTTAATTCTAAGAATCACATCTTTTTAAATGAAAGATTTAAAAAAATCAATATGGATTTCCAATTGTTATATGTATATCTAACGAGGTAGTATTTTTTTCCCTAGAAAGCTGTTTAAAAAATGGTTACTTATTGAATTAGTCCATTTCTGTTGCTTTTAACAAAATACCCGGAGCTGGGTGATTTATAAGAAAACAAAATTTATTGCTTAGTTTCTGAGGCTGGGTAGGTCAAAGTCCTGGGACCATATCAGGTGAAGTCCTTCGTGGTGGCAACAGTGATGGCAGAGGATCATATTGTGAAAATGGTGGAGCAGAGAGAGGGACTAACTTCTCATGCACTCTCCTTTTAAAGCCCTCAGAACCATGCCCCTGACCACCATTTTTAATCCACTCACTACAGCAGGGTCCTACAATCTAATCACCTCTTCAAGGCCCCACCTTCAAATTGCTGTAATAGTATTTCCAACCTTCAACCGTTAGAGTGGGGATTAAGCTTGGGGGGGGAGGGGACATTCAACCCAAGGCACTTATAAACTATAGTATCTTGGAATAAAGGAAATTCAGTAACTGGGTAAAGGAGGGAGGAAAGGGAAGAGAAAGACAGAGCAGTGTGGGCAGAAGGAGCTGCATGAGTGAAGATGCCGGGCTGGAAGGAGCATGATGTTTTTGTAGGACTGAAAGGAAATTAAGTGCCCGTAATACAAGGGGAGGAACTATGTAGTGCTAGACAGGCTGGGGAGATGGGCAGGAGTCAAATACGGCCTTTCCAAAGAATTTTGATCTTTAACTTTAGATCAATCATAGAACATTGGGAAATTTAAAGCAGGGGTCAACAAGATCAGTTGTGCATATTCCCAGTTTTACTCCAGTAGTAGTGTGGTGAGTAGACCGGAAGGAGCAAGAGTGAACATAGACCATATCAGTCAGGGAGCTACAGAAGTAGTTCGGAAGAGAGACGGTCGTGGTTCCGTCTAGGGTGGTGCAGGGCAGAAGATGATTTAAACAGACATTTAAGAGACTGACTTGACAGTACTTCCTGGTGGATTGTATACAAGGGGCAAATGTAAGGAGGAATCAAAAGCCCCCAAGTGTCTACTCTGTACATCTGGGTAGGTAGGGATGCTGAGGCAGTGAGGCGGGGGAAGATGAGAAATTCAGATTGGACATATAAGATTATGAATGCCTATAAGACCATCAGAATGTTTTTGTTTGTTTTGTTTTACTTTTTGGTGGCAGGCTAGTACAGGGATCTGAACCCTTGACCTTGGTGTTACACCACCATGCTTTAAACAACCGAGCTAACCGGCCAGCCCTAAGACTGTCAAATTGAGATGTCAAGTAGACCGTTGGATGTATGGATCTGCAACTCAGAGAAGAGGTCAGAATCCAAGATAAAAATGTGTGGGTCAGCAGCACAGAGATGACAATTGAAGCTTTGATATTGATGAGACTATCTAGAGAAAAAGTGTAGAG